CGAAATTGGGTCGTCCTTGGCCGTCAAGCACAAGGTCGGAATGCGCACGCCCTTGATATCTATGCTGCATGTCCATACCCTGCACATCTTTAGCAACAAGAGCAAATACGTACACTGACTGCTCGATGCGTCACGGTAGTAGTCACTCGCGGTCGCGTACCTTGTCATATTGTCGGTCTTCAAGAGAAAAGCAAAATATGGTGTACCCAAAGACGCGACGTGTGAGCCGCTCATCAAACTCGGCCGCCGTTTTCGAGGCTCGCAATGCCGCGAGGTCGATATGCGGGTCGTTCACATAGTGCTCGTGGGCGTTCGACTAGTCGGCCTGTGAGCTTACCATTGTAGCAAGTGGTCGTCGTAATACCTTCTTGAAGAAGAGGGTGAGGAGGTTGTTGGTGAGCGCCGTGCTGTAAATGACATTGTGAAGCCACGAGTACTCGAGGTTCCGGTTCGAAGCGAGCATGTCGTAAGGGTTGCCGACCGAGACAGCGCCCGAGAGTTGGCACTTGTCGCCTTCTTCGCCCACAAACTTGAGCAAAATGTTGGCGCCCAGTGAGAAGCCGCCGGCGAGTAGCGGCGCCGTCGGCACGTGCACTTGGCGCAAATACTGCACCGTCTCGCGCACGTCTTGCGTGTACGCACCGCAAAAGAGCTAGAAAAACGCAATGAAGCGCAGTCATACGGATGTCGCGGACCTTGGGCGTGCGCACGGGGGTCTGCGCGCAGCCCCGCGCGTTCATAACGACGACGCGCCAGCCCGCCGCAAGGAGCTTGACGGCGGTCGCGCGAATGTACACCTGCGATAACAGCGCTCTCAAGCCGTCGGCACGACATGGTATAAACGAACCTCGTTGCTGCCGCCCGTCAACCCATGCAAAAGCAGCTACGACAGTGCTGAGCCCAGTGCCAGGGCCATGACAATCAAGTACCACAGTCGGGTGGTCCTTGGCGTACGGGGCACCCGCAGGATGCGTCGCCCAGTCGAGCGACACGATGCCGCCGTCCGAGAGCGGGCGAATTTCACGCGTGTAGTGCACGCGCGGCGTGTCGCAGCCGAGCGCGACGAGGAAGGTTTGGAGGTGCCTACGCCGTCGTTGGTGAAACCGAGTTGACAGTGTGTTTCTACCCGTTGAGGAGGAACCACGACGGCCGATACTTTTCAACTATCGGTAGAATTGAGAGTCAGCCATCAGGGTCGAGAGGTGTTGTACAAAGCAGTGAGGTTTTCTGCAGCAGCTGCGTGTTGGCGAGGTTCGTTTGGTGGTAGAGCGACGGCGCTTGGTTGGCGCGCGCGAAGAAGGCGTAGCACATTGCGCTGAACGCGATCGCGCCGTACGTCACCGGCGTAAGGAGGGCGTCCATCGTCAACGCAAAATGCAAACTGAGGAACCATCCACGGAGACCAGACGATTAACTAATCATTGTATACTTTGTCGGAGCGCTAAACCAATCAGGGTGCTGCAATGATCCTTCCCGAAGGGTCGCGTGTTGATGCTCCCGCGACATAGTTCACCGACAGTGTTGATTGCAGTGGTTGCTGCTGCATTTTTGTCTCGCCCGCGCCCTTGTCTGTATAATAGCCCACGCCGCGGTTGGAGCTTGGTGGATGGAGGCTGGTGGTGGAGGTTGGAGCGGGGTCGCATGTCACATTTCTCAAGGCCATATTTTCTTAGTGCTCACGTGGGCGATTTAGAGAAAGCACCTCGCTGCATGACACTTCAACCATGGTACAGCGTCCGATAACTCGACAGAGAAAATCGAACCAAGATGCCAACGGCACGACATCTGTTGGGCGCAAATAAAAATGATGGTCCATGGCTGTCGTCGTCAACATGACTGTGAGGTCTCGAGGCGGCACCTGGCGACGAGATGCTTGATGAGACTCTCTGTGGCTTCATACGCATGGACCAATGTCTTCTTCACGCTAGAAGATAGAAAGGCGGGGAATGAATTTTGGTGCTGGTGGGGTGTCGACGAGCGTCCTGCCTGCGGCCTGTTGGTGTTTTCCTGCGGTTTGGCTACGCTCCCCGCAATCGATGTGACTATACAACGTGCCGTGATGTATGGAGCACCAAGGAACATACACGACATCGCCCTTCTCTGCGATGCGCAAGCCCGTGAAACGTACGAACATCTTTGGTGCGATGGCCATACGTACGAGCGATTTGGTGCACCTTTGCACCGATGCGGGACATTTTACAGATGCAACTCCCGTCGTCTGTCGCTGGCTTTCTCTACGACGATGTCGCCGCGCCGTACTCGGCCCACAAGTCGTCCATTCGTGCCCTCTGGCCGATCTTACGCGCTTGCGTCTGGTATTGTCTTTGGCTCGAACGCAACAAGCGTGTCTTCCGCTCGACGCTGACGCAACTTCCCGCTGCCGCGCTCGCGATCCGGGCAGCTACTATCGCAAGACTGCCCTTGGCTCGTCGCGCAGTTGTGCCATCTCTTGAGG